CAATAGTACATTGGATGAAGGATGTATGGGGTGTGGGCTCATCCGCTCTATGACGCAAGTTGAGTTGAAAGCTGTATGAATAAAGTCCAATCACTTTAGTACTCCATGTATAATTAGACAAACCTCGAATAGAACCTTTCTTATTAAAGACTGATTGCATTTGTACTCGCTCGAGTAGTATCTACTTCTCTTATCATTGGACCGGCTAACATGGAGAGGGGCTGTGCCAAACTCCGCTCAAACATCTTCGACCCTGCCCTCTTGAACCAAGTATTCGGCTCTCCTCTTGAGCTCTATATTCAACCACACCTTTATTCATGAATTAGTCTGGGCTATATTAAAGCCACCCCTTTTGTCTTTCAAACTATTCGTCCATCCTGCTGGCTAGTTGGGATTTTTCGACTCTTTTGTCTTGGTCCTCCCCTCGAGAAGCATCTAACAAACACTTGGCTTGAAACCTGAGTGTCATGGTTGCTACCCTATTGGACCTCGTATTTAGCGCTGTTCGCACCTTTCTATGGGTGATAGCAGTCGTCTTGGGACTAGCGATTCTGAAACTACTTAGGACATATTTACGGCCTTATTTCTCTGAGCTTCGTCAACTACCGGGCCCTTCTGGTGGTAGCTGGATTACTGGACATGTTGCCGACCTAAACCGATCCCAAACGGACCGCGCAGAGTGCGTACTCGAATGGTCGAAGCAATATGGACACGTATTTGTTTACAAATCACTCTTAAATGTCAGCAATGGTCTTATCTACTTGATTCCTCTCATGTCTGATGTTTACAACAGTCGAACCGCCTGGTTACCACCGACCCAAAGGCACTCAATCATATTCTGGCCAACTATATGACGTACTATAAACCCGAACATTTACGTCTCGCCGTTGGTCAACTCATTGGAGAAGGTAATTCGTCACTCTTTCACAACGTTTGTCACTCAACTGCTTGCTATAGGTCTGATCTTTGCGGAGGGTAAGCACCTCACTGCAGTACAATAACCCCAATTCATACTTGGTTAGGATCTGCACATAAACGCCAGAGAAAAGTGATGGTGGGTGATTTCTAATTCCCAATACAATTGGTGACCGTGGAACAGAATCCAGCCTTCAGTCTCGGCCACATCCGAGAACTTACCAATATATTCCTCTCAAAGTCCCATGAGGCAAGTTCGATTCCCGCATTTTTGATATTGTCGACTTACTCAAGTAGCTCCGAGAGGCCTTGATCACGTGCATAACGGAGGATGCGGGTCATCCTATCAACATAATTCCATTTGTGTCCCGTTGCACCCTCGATATCCTTGGTCTAGCCGGATTTGATTACGACTTTAATACTGTAAAGGAAGGAAGCGGGAAACAAACTGGCGAAAGTACCAATGAACTGGCCGCGGCTTTCGCTAAAGCGCATAGAACCGACCAAGGCTATGCGATGATGCAAATGCTCTATGCATGGATCCCACCGCTACGATGGGTCATGTTTGACCAGGCCACGAGGGCGTCCACCGAAGCTCAAAAGACTATGAGGAGAATCGGACGACGGCTGGTAGAGGAAAAGAAGCGACATCTCGGATTCGTCTCCGAAGGTAGTCCTACGACGGCCTATCCAAAAAGCACATTTGTGGGATCAGGGAGGGAGAAGGATCTCCTTAGCTTGATGATCAAGGCCAACATGAGCCCTGATATCTCCCCTGAGCAGCGAATGTCCGACATGAGAGGAATCAAGTAGATAAGACCATTGCTGACATTTAAGAGTGATTTGTAA